GTTTTCTTTACCTAATTTGATATTCAAGTATGGAAGTTACAAACAGTTTTGATTTTTGGTGTAATTTTTGGGCACAAATGCACATTTCAGTAAGAGAGGACAACTGAAGCGTGACTGAGCAACTTAGCAGCTGGTTTTATTTTACTAGAGAAAACCAAAGACACTGTAATTTAGCATCAGACAGTTAGACCCTTTTTCCTGGTTTTCCCTATGTAACCTATGCTGCTACTGAATCAAAGGGGGAAGGGTGGGTATTTTTTTGGTTGAGGCTATAGATGGAGAAATATATTATTTAAAAGGCACAATGTCCAAATTTTATTATTTGAATTGTCTGTTGGTGACAAAGGAGACTAAGATTGAGCTGTAACAATAGGAAGGATCAATGTATTATTCTCTGGCTTCGGAGCCAACATAGTCTGCATTTCCTACTGTCTGCACACAAGATCACTTCAAGCCCTGGTACGAAGTGCTAATTACAAAGCTGCCAACAGAAATTTACATGACAGAGAAAAACATCTGCTATTTTATTTTCCATTGTCCTTTTCCTCTTGACAGAGAAGCACAGCAAAACCTGTTGCATTTAGCTTTGATATTTTAAAAAAAAAAAAAAAAAAAAGAGGCTTCTGTGCCTGTTTACAAGGTCAGAAGACCCTCAACTATGCTGCCCTGGTTGTTGTGAACATGCATTCTTTTGGCTACATGCATCAGAACAATCCACCTTACCTAAAATAAACAGATGGATGCAGTAATTCATGCATTATGCAAGTGTTTTGCAATGTTCTTTCCTTTGATAGGACATAAATAAAGAAAACAGGAAAGACGCGTTATTGCTTAACTCTATGAATCAGAAAGCCTGCGCTAAGACACTGTGTGCACGCACACAAGTGGACCAGCCCCCAGCCACTGCACGTGCTTCTGCACGGATGCAGATTATATATTCTTATGAGGGGTATGATCCTGGAAATTCCCCAATTACATCAATAAAACAATTCCAATATATAATTACCACACAACTAAAATAAACATCTCTGAATTTGTTCATTCAAGTGGACACTGGAAACTCTTTTTACTGTTAACCACATACAGCCATTCTAATCAAATGTCCTGCCATTTTTAAGTCAACTTTGTGCTGTTTCACTGTACCTAGCTTAAAATTATTTCAATGCAAGCTAACTGGGTGAAACTGAATATAGGACAACCCTTGTTTTGCGCACACATCCCAGACAGTGTCAAACTGCCAGAGTAGTTATAATTTGAATAGAAACCCATACTTTTCAGCCTAGATTTTTCAAAAACCTCCCCCAAGGCCCACTGTCAATGAGAAATTATTCAAAAGACAAGTGGATGGGGATTAAAAAGAGAGAGCAAAACACTAGGATGAAGAAGGAATGTAACTAAACAGATTACAACAGACAACACTTAAGTGCTCCTTAAATAGCTGTGATACAGATGCAGATTGCAGGGACAATAATCATATTTAAGTGTATTAGTAGAGCATTACAATTATGAAGTTAAACTTGTAACCTGCAAATGGAGCAACTGTTAAACCCGGGAGGATTCCTGCCGAGGCCAGCAACTGCCCAAACAATCCTGTTGCAGAACAGAAGCCCTCAGTACTCCAGTTGAAAACAAAATACCAACCCCAACTTTGCCACTGTAATGCTGCTCTCACCTAGATGAACAGTATTAGGTTCCCAGCTGGTGGGAACACTGGTTTTGGTTGTAACTTGACAAATTGCTCTTGACACAAACCTTTAATTCTCACAGTGGGAATCATACCTGCTTTATAGCTTGCTGAAGTTTTTCCAGATTTATTTCTTTGGCTTCCTTTAGTAATGTCCTTTCATCCATCTTTAACATAGAAACTCTGTACTGGCATAGTTCCACCACAACTACATCAGGCTGCACTTCTTGTATTGTCTGAAAAACATGAATTTATTTACACCAGTTTAGGAAGGACTCAACAGAAATGCAGCCAATATTGATATTTCCATGAGAAAAGGGACTTAATAAAAGCACTCTAGCAATCATTTTAAATTAAAAGAACACTGAAAGGGTAAACAAGACTTCTCCAACCACCTACGTATTGAGAAAAACATTAAGGAAAATTACAGTGAAATGCTTTAGCTACTCAGTGCTTTGCAACAGGAAGATGGAGAGCAAATTGTGCTGAGGGTGGCGTAGGGAGAAAAAACTGTGTTAAACTTCTCACATTCAGAGTTCCTTTGACCATACTCTGCAATCATCTGCAATCTGAGTTAGAATAAGCTTTCTAAGAACCAGGGTTGATGATTCTGGCACAAGACTCCTCCCTCTCTAGGTCCTGGAGAACAAAGCCACTCTAAACTGCAGACTTTGCATGAGGTACAGTATGAAATAGTTTGTACTTTCACTAGAGCTTCGGACCTATTTGTATCTTGTATTTCATTCTCAAGTTAGGGACAGCACGGTTTTACAGCTCAGCATCATACACCCTGAGCATGGAGCAGCTGTAAACTGCAGCTTCTGCTCCAGGCTTCACATCTTCTCAGCAGCTCCCCATCACAGTGAGTATGCAACCACCACAGTACACACTGTTAGTATGATGTGATGCTTTGCTGTGACAGGTAGGGTAAGCTTCACCAGTGAGACTTCTACTTTTAACATCGGCACTGTATCTTCATTTGTTGTATAAGGGCAAATAAAAATATTTGAGATGGGAGAGCAATGTATTGCATCAAAAAATTACTAAGATAATGTGGCTGCCTCTTAGTTCAACACACAGTGCTGTTAGCCCTCCAATGGCTAACTTGAGAAAAATAATCTGGAGGTTACAGCACAGAACCCAATCAGAGAGTTGGAGTTCATTCTACTTAATGTTGAGTTGACATCATAAACACACTGCTGAAGGACTTCCACTTAGTATTTACCTTCACTACATCCTTTTTGCTGCTGTCACTGAAGTGGGCTGTTCCAACCACATATACTTTAGAACCATCCTCAGTGTCAAGCTCAGTCACAGTGCCTGGTAAATCAGGTTTTTTCTGCCTCTTCTTCATCTTCATCTCCAGAAGAATTTTAAATGCCTCTGCATCAGCTATAAATGTAAAGAGAAACAGAAAAGAAAAGCACACATGACTATAAAGTGCAGGTAAGTAAAACAGAAAATAAAAATGTCACCACTAAACAGCAGAGCAGAGCTAAAAGGCCATTGATTTACCACTGTAATCTTACATTCAATTCTGAGGCTACATCATTGAGAGTGCCACCACTGGAGAGGCTGCCTCCAAGCATGGGTCTCAGTCCAGGTTTCCTACCCTGTGGACACTGGGACAGGTTGTCCATGCAGTTCAGTATGGGAAAGAGAGAAGCTGTGTGGCAGGTGAGGTGGATAGAAAAGCAAAGAATACTTAGAAAAGGTATACACTAAATTGGGAGGAAAAAAAAAAAGAAAGAAAAGAAAAAAAAAAGCATTTTTTGTTCTAGAACAAAAGCGTTCTCTTTTGGGATTTTATCTGTATAAACGATAGCAACACATGTACAACGGTGTGAGTATGCTGGTAAAGTCACCTGCACATATTGGCACATACAGGATACCTACAGTACCAGTCTTAGCCTTTTTGTGATTAACATGCCAAGGATCAGTATACAATTGAAAATTAAACCTTAAGAGGTATTCAGGTCAGGAAACCAATCATTCTTCCCTAGTTTCAACAACAAACTACTTAAGACCAAAATGGTACAGTGTGAGTTCAGCCCATCTATGATGAGCTTGCCACGGAAAATAGGAAGATTTATCACAATTGCTTGTTAAATGCCAGAAAGCCTCATTAACTGAGATAGAGAAGCTTCAGTTTTATATCAATGGGAAATACAGGAACTTCGAATGAGTTATCTTTAAGCTGTAATGCATCTTAGAAAAAAAAAAAAAGCATCAAGTAGGAAAGCAGAGTTTTGTTTCCAACCAATTCTCTTTCTCTGGCAAGCTGCTGCACAAGTTAGCAGTGGTCTCAAGTGGTCCAGAACCTTGGAATAGGATCATGATCCAGGAAAAGAAAAAGGTTAGTTTGCAGGCAGGATGTCAAAGATGCAGATAAATTACAGTCTCCTACCATACATTCATTTGTTTCATGAACCTGGTTTAACTGTGTGGCTCTGTCCCAAGATCTGTCCCACAAAGGCATATCTCAAAATTTTATGTCAAAAAAACCAAAACCCCAAACAAAAGCCACCCGCCAACATCCTTCTTAGTTAGCATTTTAGCAGCCTCCTACTTCATGGTCAATACCCAAGAACATGGTGTGCTGCAATCAGTATGGTCTGATCTAAGACCATGTTGCTGCCAAAACAGATGGTGATGCTAAGGAGCGGGTGGGAAAACATGACTGTAAAAGGAAGGAGAAGAGGTAGGGCTGTTGCATTTGTAGCACTCAGTCACATAATCATAAAAGTAGCCACAGTAGATCAACCAAAATCAACCCAAGCAAATATCCTGCCTCCCACAATGGTCAAAAGTGGATATCTGAAGAAGAGTATAGGAAATGAGGAAGCACACACAATACCTTCCCCAAATACTCTCCTAGCCTAGAGCCATTTATGGCTCAGATTCCCCCAGTTCAAAGTGGCTTCTACATATTCAGTAATCCTTAAAGGACTTCCTTTCTATTAATTTTTCAGCCTTCACCTCACACACATATTCAGAACTGGACTGAATAATGTTTCATGTGAAGAACAACTGCTGTAACAGTGCAGTACCAGATGTTATCATTTAAGGACATAATCAAGGAAAACATTCTCAGCAGCAGCTACAGTTTTTATTAAACCAACTTCTTTACCTGGAGAGAAAAAAGCAACATAAAAAATTAATCTGCTTCTTCAGGTCCGAATGCTTTTCCCATAGCTTTAGTCAAGGCTCTCTTTGCTCCCATGACTGTTATTTCTGAAAGCTGTGATCCCTAGGGATTATTCAGCAACTTCAGCATTACAGTAATGTTGCTGTTACCCACTGATTCACCCTAAGGTGGTTCAGAGCCTATTATTTTCCCAGAAAGCATAATCTGAATGTTCCTGTTGTTCAAAATGAGGATTGTATACATTAACATCACAGCTGTATATCAATAAACACAATGCAAATCCTAAGAAGCCTTTGTTTTTGTCTCCTGAGAAAGAAGTGTCTGTCATTATCTGATCCTTACCACTAAAAGGTAAGGACTGATACTCTTCCTTTACAAGACAGTTTTGGCTGGAATACTTCTATTTCCACATCCCACAGGCTTGGCCTTTATATCAAAATATTATCTCATGCTGGCATGGGCAAAGTATTCCAACCTGGGATGACTGATTCAACATCACAACACTAGATGCCAGAATGCTGAAGCAAACATGTACTTATCCATCTCTGGCTTAGAGAGCAGCAACCGAGCCTAACACAATAGCGGAGTGTATCTATTAAATCAAAAACCGTTTACTTTCTTTTCAAAGCATGGGAGCAGCAAACTGACAATCAATATGTCATTGCTCTTTCCAAGTTTGGCTTGCACAACTGGGCCTTTCTACAAATCATGAACAGATTAAGTCAGATATGACCTCATTCGCCTCTGCCTTTTTGCGCTAACAGCCACATCCTTATTAGGTAAGGAAAAGGCATGGACATTTAGCTTAATATACTTGCAACGTGACCCACCCTCCCCAGTCAAACCAGAAACATACAGATATTCTGCGATACACTTGACGTTTCCTTTGGGCCATCTTCTGGTGCATCAGAGGAGGACATTGGATCTGCAGCAGCCTGTATGAAACAAATTCAGAAGGAGGCTGGGAATTACAATGAAATGTTTTAATACATCTTTCCCCTTGTGAGTTTGCTCAATTTGAACCTACATGTAATATTCAAGCAAGTAAATAATTTAAGCAGTGTCAACAGTTCAAAGCGTCTGTGGTTTTACAACTGTTTTTCTCTTAGATGGATAAGTATGAGAGAGAACATAAAACTATTTCATGCCTACTTCAAAAGATAATATTTATACCTGACATGAATTTTTTTTTAAAAAATCTGATTCTAGACTAAAAAGAACAAATTTATCTCTAACACTACTATAGCGTTTTCTGTGTTGGAAACTAAAATGTGCACTGATTATTATGATACCATTGCCATTTATAAGGTGGCGTATTTGATTCAATTAACAGCATTAGTCTGTCAGGAGCCTGACAAAGTTAATCAGCACTCACAAGAATACACATACCCATTCAAGAAGAGTCCATTCAATTATTTTATTCTGTTAAAACAAGTATAATGTAATTACACAATATGCACACCCAGTCTTATAAAATTTATGCCTATGCTGACTTTATATACATTAGAAATCAAAGTCAGAAGGATGAAAAACATTGGTATAGTTTTGTTCCCTCAAGAATCAGAAGTTAATTGAAAAGGTTCCCAAAGACTGACTTTTAAATATTATCACTAGAAGCATACAAGGCAAATCTTTGACTAACAAAATCTTTCTTATTTTTAACGACTAGGCAAGTTTTAAAACCCATGCATAGAACTCAAAACAATCCCAGTTATTCAGCCTATGTCATCCAAGCTGGAGAGGCAGAGTCAGCGCAGAAGAGAGAGACTTAAGAATCAGGGAAAGCTCAACTATAAACTATCTTTAGGCAACTACATTAATTCAAATTTGAATCAGGATGACTACTGGGAGAACTTGGAATTCCTGAACAACATTAAGTCAGAAAGTTAGACACAGGATGAGAATCCATCATCATTCAAGTACCTTCCCAAATGAAAGGCAGTGCTAATGAGTCAGCAAGCAGGTAGCCAAACTCTCCTGAAGGATGTCAGCTTTTTAGCTAGAATGACTGGTTTATTTACTTCGTACCTAACCCGGTAAGATTTAAAACAAGACTGTACAACGCACATCCAATTGTTAAGAGCTTTCAACAAGAGTTATTAATTTCTCCTTGCATTCCATTTTGCTAAACAGTAATTTTCAGATAATAAATCCTGTGTGTCTTACCTTGGCCCCACTGAAGGTAAGGCAAAATCTACCATGCATTTCATTGGAGTTAAGACCAAAAGGTATAACAGCTCTACAGTGCAAAGTTTAAAACATTCACAGCAACGAATCATCCTTTCACTACAAAGCAAAATCTGTTCATGGACAACTGTAAACTGCAATTACACCGCAAATTGCAGTTACATTCACAAATCTAATTTAACACCAGCTCAGCTTTTGATCACAACATATGGCTTGACTCTACTGCTTGCATATGTAACTCCAGTCACAAAAATATTTTGAAAAATGTATCCATCTGTAACATATGGAATTAATCCTGTCACTTATGCTGGCTTTGTCATCATAACAACATTACAACATTGTAGTGGGGAAAAGCACTAAGCACCGCATTAAGAGTCTGCCATTCCCTTTTTCTTTTTTTTAAATTAACTAACAGGGCACAGGAATCAACATTCTTGTATCTCACAGGAAAAAAAAAATTCCTGAGTTTCACCTATTCACCTGAGCTACACTAGAAAAAAGTTTTGAGATACATGGGTATGAAAGAAGGAACAGAAAGCGTAGAAAAAAGCACCTAAAGAAGGTTTAATTTGGCAAGAAACTTAACCTATGTACAGTGAGATCATTCATATGCAATTTGTGTAATTTACTCACAAAACATTTTTTCCTCCTACAGGCATTAAGCTCATAGGTTAGACTATTTTCTGCAATTCTTAACTTGCAAGTCAATTAATACAAAGGACCCTTTTTAGCTTTTGCAATTGTAGGAAAAAGGACCCTGAAAAGAACCTAAATGTGGCAAAATAATAGCACTCAGACCCCAGCGACCCTACACTGGCCATCTTGACCCCCAACTTTGCAGACCTCCCCTGAGCATGAGTGGAAGAACTTGGCTGATTCAGAGTCTTGACCTTCCTTGCAATTCTACTGAGAAAAAAACTTCAGCTTCAAGCCCTACCTCTGGCTGTTGCTCCTCTTGCATCCCTGCAGCGTAGGCTTATTTTCACCAACCACACAAGAACTGTAGGAAGTAAAAGGAATGGAACAAAATTAAAAATTAATGGCATAACCTAGAATATTTGTTTAAGAACTGTA